TAAGGTTCAGGTTTGTAATCGTTGAAGTTTAAGGCGCTGTAATCAATTTCCGGTCTATGTTTTGGGTTAGTTAAAGGATGTGCAAAACATACCGTTGGAGTTATTATGTGTATTTCATGTTTATTCTCTATTGTAGGTCTCACGGCGTGTGGCTGGCTGTTCAATAAAAGTTGTGAACCATCAGTTGAAGAGACCTCCTTTGGGTGCTACCCACTGCGGCCCTCATCACGATCGACCCTGGACCGGTCCGCGGGCTACCGGTCGTATTGGGCACCCCTGACCTACCTAATCCGAAACGATGAGGAAACAATCGGTAAGTTTGTGTTTACTGATCTCGTACCTGATGGTGTAGTCGCTCGAGATGACCACCGAAAAGCGACAGTAATGCGTAGAATTCGACAAAGTACCTCGACAACAAGAAACGTGTATCACAAGGGTACATTTTTCTTTCTCAAAAGGTAGACTTTACAAATGCGGGCCTTGCATTAATTAGCTCACATTCCATTGGCCAGGTGTCACGAATTTTGTGTCCACCGAGAGTACGGTCATAAACGCATGTTCAAATAACACACGTTGCTGAAATGGCATTCAATCTAATAACGCCATCAAACACGGGGGGGGAAAAAAGAAGAAGAAATGAGAAATAAAAATTCACTTAACATTGATGGTTACCGTAATGTTCATAAAACCCAGTGTGCCTTCAAAGTCAAATTAAGTTCAGTGGGCAAAATGATGCCGGGCTCAATGTAGCCATTTATATGACTCTTTTTATGGCTGATTCCAAACCGCCTCACTAATCAAGGCTCTATTACAAAGCTTCTTCATGGCGGGGCTTAGATTGGCTTCAATTTACATAATGGCGCAACGCTGAGAAAGTGAGGTCTCAACTGCTTTCCATTTCTCCCGCCAAGCAGATTAGCTAGGTTTATGGATTTGCAACACGTGCGAAGCCCCCACCCCCCCCGCCCCCATTACTGGTCTATTTCCTTGCGAGTTGTTGACAATCACTGGGATTGGGGGGGCCTTTCTACCATTCGGCTTTGCATCGGCTTACTCTTGGAATCTAATTGGTGACCGTGCGCTTCACATACCTCCGCCCCCCCATTTGTTCAATTCCGATATCTTTTTTTTTTTACTGAAAACCGAGACATTGCTTCAAATTGACAGTGCCAACAAATTGCGATTCTGTTACTAGTTTGGGCTGTAACATGTCAGATCAACAACCAGTCAAAGCAGCCCTTTGCAAATGTCCGATGCAAATGACTGTAGTCGTGTTTACCGCCTTGTATTCCGACGAGAATGAAACCAAATCGGCACATGGAATGAAAATACTCCATCTCGCACAACAGAAGTGCCAACAAATTGCGATTCTGTTACTAGTTTGGGCTGTAACATGTCAGATCAACAACCAGTCAAAGCAGCCCTTTGCAAATGTCCGATGCAAATGACTGTAGTCGTGTTTACCGCCTTGTATTCCGACGAGAATGAAACCAAATCGGCACATGGAATGAAAATACTCCATCTCGCACAACAGA